ATAAAGGGACATGTGGAGGGAAATATGAAGGGACATATAGAGGAAAATTTAGAAGGAAATGTGGACAAAAATTTAAAGGAAAATGTTGAGGAAAATTTAAATGGAAATATGAAGGGAACTATATAGAGAAATTTGGTTGGAAATGAAAACATCAACGAGGGAGTAGATATGAATAATTTTGAGAAGAGTAGGAAATTAATAAAAGAATGGGCAGAACTAAAAGTTGAATTGAATTAAGAGCATTACAATTCATAAGAAAGAGAGGAATACATCTCTAATAATGATGAAGAACCTATGATAAGGAATAGAACCAGATTGATCAAGTATGACCAAATAACAAGAAAGAAACGAGAGTCTGCTATTAAGTATGCCATCTATAGTATAAGAGATTGGAAGCTTGTTAAAAATGTCAATTATAAATATAGGACATTTTACAAAGATGAAATTATCTTTGAAAGCTATTGATTTCTAGTGATGGAAAGATAAAAAAAAGGATAGTGAAGACCTATTATAACGAGCATACATAGGGTTGGTCTTTCATAAATTCTAAGGTTAGTTAAAAAGTATTTGTATAACATTTTATGAAAAAAATTTAAAACAAAAACTGCATAGAATAAGATATTATATGAGGTTGTAAAAGATAGTATGGTAGATCTAAAAGTACAAATTATAGTTTCACAAGCCAAGCATGTAAAAAATATAATGAATTTGATGTATTCTATAGATATGTAAAATGAGTTTCGAAGGCTTGAAGATTATGTAGCTAAATTAAGAAGATGTAATGCTACTAGTACTATCATTCTTGAAATAGAAGAAGGTAAAAAAGGTGAAAATAGGCTCAAAAGAATTTATGTTGTTTTCATGCTATCAAAAAAGGTTTCAAAACAGGGTGCAAGTTAATTATAGGGTTAGATAGTGCATTCTTGAAGGGTCTATTAAAAGGGGAAGTTTTATCAACTATTGCTAGGGATGCAAACAAATAGATATATCTATTTTGTTGAGCTATTGTGAAATGAAAAAATAAGGAAAAATGACTCGTGGTTTATAGTTTGTTGATAGAAGTGTTGGACTTCTATATGGAAATGGTTATGGATGGACTTTCGTAACTAATAAGCAAAATATAACTAAATATACTTTATTAAATTTATATTTTAATAATTGTTAGTTTAATTATTCTAATGATTTATTGGTTCCGTTAGGAATTATGTGCTATTCTATACGATTTGATTCCTAGAGTAGAATATAAGTGGTGTGCCAAATAAATATTTGTAAAATAGAGGAAGCCACATAGTGGAAAAGATGTTGAGAAGCAATTCTAGATATTTGTAAAGTCAAGCACGAGTTCCAAACTTAGAAGAAAATCTTAAGCAACTAAGAAAGTATAGCAAAGTAGCATTGGGAAACTTCGTCAAACATTATCCCCTAAAATAGTGCAAGACATACTATAAAACTCATATTAAATCCGATGTAGTTAAAAATAATTTATGTGAAACTTGAAATGGCTTTATTTTAAAAGTTGGACATAAGGGCATTGTCACACTATTGGAGAATGTTAGGTATCTTATATTCAAAAGAACAATTAGTAGGAGAATGTCTATAGTTAGGTTTAAGGAGAACTTTGGGCCTAAGATTTGAAAAAAGAAAAAAGAATACAAAGAACTTAGTACAAAGTTTAGGATGTTGCATAATGGTGATGATGAGTATAAAGCCATTAATAATTATAATTACAATGATAAATATATATTACATATGTAGAAAAAATTATATATGTGTAGGTTGTTTGAGATAACTTATTTACCATGTCCACATTCTATAGTTGTTTATGGTCCTAAGAAGTGACAATTAGATAAATATGTTCTTCATTGGTATAGTAAAGATATGTTTGTTAACACAAAAATTCAATTAAACCCACTAATAGTAACAAGTATTGGCCTAGGACAAAGAAACCAAAGATCTTGGCCCCAAATATTATCAAACTACCTAGAAGGAAAAAGAAAAAGAGAATTTTAGAATCATGGAAATCTTCAAATGGAATTAACATGTTTAGAAGAGGAAGAAAGATGACTTTTAAAATCTATTTCAAGAAAGGACATAACGGATTGACATGTCTTGATAATCCTAAGAATAAAAACGTAAATGCTTTATAATTTTGTCTATCTATTATGTTTTTAAGTTTTATTTATCACATGATGTATTAAAGTTGATTCAATCTTATTCACAAGATTTTTTTGGTAGGATTTACACCTCATGGACCAGCTAGTGTTGTGGTTGGATATGACCTCGTTGAAGTCGTTTCAAAATTTAGTTATGTTATAGTTAAATCGAGTTTTAGCTAGTTATATACAAATTCTTTATTTTTAAAATTTTTTGGTATATTGCTATGTTTTTTTTGTTAGTGTTTATGTATAATATTCTACGGAATCATTTATGTATTCAAGGGAAAGCCAAACGAAAGTTAAAGCTGTATCTTCTCGTAAGAGAAAAAGAAATTATGTTCGTTGGTTCAAGATTGTGGAGTAATATGAACAAAGAGAAGATTGTTGCTACTGAAATAAAGAAATATGATGCCACCGTTGTGAAAATTAACCAACAAATGTATAATGGTGGTCCACGTCCGAGGAGTCATAAAGGTAAGACGAAGACTAATGTTGCTCGCAACAAAGAAAAATGATGCTTGGTGCAACAAAGAAACAAGGAAAAAAGTCTTTAATCGAAGTTATATATTTTGTAGTTGAATTTAGTTTTTCCAAATATGACACTAGTGTCTCAAAGACAATCATAAATGTTCTAAAAAAGAAAAAACCAAACTTAGATAATTCAAATGTCAAAAGGTTAAGGAGATCATAGATTACAAAACAAAGTGGTGGTGCTTATTGGTTCTAAACAATGACGTAATGTTATGAATTTTGATTCATGTAATGCGGAATATAGATGTTGCTATAGGAATATATAACTTGGGATTTTGACTAGTAATTTTGTTATGGATATGGATATTGACTTACTATAATGATATGTTGTGAATTTTTGAGGTGTTTGTCATTAGATGCTATGTGAATCTTTACCTGGTCACATCTAGCACTATCAAAAAATTTTAATACTTTATAACTATGTTAGAACAAGTTAGTTTATAAGTATAGATAATCTAAGGCATACAAGATTTCTCAAATATAAGTTGCATAAAAACAATATTGCACATAACTCATATTGCACTAATGTTCAGTTGCATAATGTTGCTTGTAGGAAAATGTTTTTCAATCCAAAAATTACAAAATAATGTGTTTTTAAAAAGATCGTCAACCCTTTTCAAACCCACATCATTACAAACACAATGACAAACATCATACAAAAACATTTAAGAAAAACACATGTTCATGCCTAAACAAAACTAAATCAACATAAATCAATTTCAAATCTTCAACCTCCGAGTAGCAATGACTCCCCCCCCCCTTTTATTATGAGTATTGTTTTGAATTCTTATAGTCTCTAATTCAATTAATAATTCTTCATTCTCATTCTTCATGTAGGAATTCTCACTTTTCAACATAGAAATCACCTCATTCAATCTTAAATTCTCTCGACACCAACCTCTAATTCATTGCATGTATTTCTTTTTGCCATTTCATAAGCCCAGAACAATCTCTTTGCTTTGCCATCTAAATCATCCCCAAACCATAATTTAAAGTTGTAGCCAATATCTTGTCTTTCTTTTGCATTGAATTGAAGTGAGCAACATTAAATCTAACACCGGGGTGTTCATCACTCCAAGACAATGACTTAATTGTTTTCATCTCATAGAAACACACAATTGATGGTTTTTCACAATTTCGTTGTAATTCTTGATCACTAAGTGCACATATCAATAATTTTAATACATTTGAACGTTTGGACGAGAAAGAGGATGTGGACGAAGTGGTCATGTCTTCTCGAATTGCAAGAGGAGGACAAAAAAACATGAACGAGTTTGAAATTAAGGATTTTGCATTTTGGAATTATTGAATTTTAGGATTTTAGGGATTTAGATTTGAGAATAAGCATAATTTGTGTTTGAGTTAATAGATTTTAAGTGGTTTTGAGATTTTGGGATTTAGGTATTTTGACGGAATAGGAGAATGATACAAAAATGAGAGTGCAAGAATGATAGGAGATGAAGATGAAGGTATAATAGGGGTGGGAGCATTTTAGTCTTTTTATTTTCATTTTTATATACTAAATATTAGTTTGATAATGTAAATATTTTTAATTATAGTTTCTTTTTTTTTTCAGATTGATTTTGTTTACTAATGGGACCAAGAATGCCACGTGTTTTAGTCTCATTGGTTACTCGTTATTTTTAACATGTCACGCAAGATGCATATTTAACAAAAGGTCCGAATCAATAAATTTATAAGAGTAAAAAATTTTAATCAAACTGAAAAATTATAAAAGATCTCAATAAAAAAATTCGAATTATATATGTGGGATAAACCCTCGTATAAGTAATATATCCCATGTGATCAAGAATTAAAAAATGAGTTATAGAACCATATGTCAATACTATGTCTAGGCTTTTACGTTAACTATAACGTACATTCAAATATGTAAATCATCACATACAGAAGGCCGGTCTCTCCATATCAAATTTGGCGTGGGACTAGAGGACTGTTTGCGTAACTTTTCCTGGCAAATAAAAAGCTTTTGTGATGGTAAAAGTTCTGTGGGGATAATTTAAAATTGACCACACAGTCGCACATTTCTTTGTGGGGAACACAAGCTGTGAAAAGTAGAGAGCACCTTGTATCATCTTTTAATCTTACTACATGACAAAAATCAGCTTGATAGAATATATTTGTTGTAGCAACGACGCACTTCCGTTTCCAAATTCATCAAAATTGTAGACACAAGAGCAGTGCAAGGCAGCATATTAGGTATTAGCACACCAAGAGCTTAGCCACTACACGCCAATGAAAGTTTCCATAGCCTGCCCTCTTTCCTTTTAGCCACCCATACTGGACTCTTATGTGCTAAGGAAGGAATATGAGCCATGCAGGGGTCAAAGTCACAATGGATGCAGGCTGGCCCAGAAAATACTCCCAGAATCCAAAGGAGTTCCATTTGAAATAGCACAGTCTTGCCTGCTTGAAAAGCAATATTACCCTTGACATTTCAAACCCGCCACCTAAAGAGACAACAGAAACAGCTGAACGTTTTCCATGTCTCACGACCAACTGGTCATTATAAGTTGTCGATAACTGAGTTTCTGGCTTAGATATCTTGTTTGTTAGAGAATATTTTATTATGGACACTCAGTTTTCTTTTTTTTTTTTTTTTTTTTCCCTCAATGACGATATCTAGGTTGCATAGGTAGCTAGCTAGCTTTGTCCTTCCCTTTAAACTCCTTTATATTCTGAATTATTTTATTCGAGATTGCTCATATGCAGTGACTTCATCTACCAATTACTTTAACAACAGGTGGCTATTATATATATTCAACCATAAAATAAAATAGCAATTTGAAGGTTGTTGGTAGAGTAATAAAAAAATGTTTTAAATTTATTAGATTAGATATTTAATTTTCACCTTCGGAAAGCTCTTCTTTTTCTTTCATATGACATAAGACATGAAGTGACAATGAATTTAAAAAGTCTGATTTTTAGAATGATCAAAATGAAATGTGATTTGATGTTAATTTAACTTATGAAATAAGAAATTTAGTTTTGATTAATATTAAAATTAAAAATAATAAATTTAATCTTAATTGATGTAAAAATTAATTCAAAAACTATAATTATATATATATAATTAGAGTCTCCCAGCCCTATGCCAGTGCAAAACGTAGACCATGTAGCATTGTGCCTTTAATACTACTGCAACCAAGCAAAATTCAAGATCTGGAGAGAATACTCACCACCCCTGGGAGTCATCTCTATCATAAGTGCTATGAGCCATTAAAACTGTTACGACTGGTAACAGAATATTGAGATTACCTTTGCAAAATGTCATGCACCAAGTGAACAAAATATTGTTTTTAATAAACGAGGAAGATTGTGGTAATTTGAAAAATTACAAATTTATGTACGTTGAGTAGTTCTTTTGCTTATAAAACCATCATGGATCACAGCTGGGCGTTGCAATGGCGCTAGAATAATTAAGAACTTTTGCAAACTTTATTATTATAATTATTAAATATCAGTATAATAATATGTTTTGTTCCCATTCACTTTGTCGTTTTCCCATTAGAACGCCAAATCTTCCTTTACAATACCATCTTATTTCTTGGAAAAAAAGAAGAAAAGAAGTTGAGCGTGGGCGTGGGCGTGGGCGTGGATGTAAATGCAGGAGACCAATTAATCAGTTAATTGTGAAAGTTTCTGCTTAAAGCACCAAAGCATTTTTCTCTCTCTCTCTTATTTTACTCAAAATTCAGAGGTAAGATTAAAAACGAAGAGTCCATAATTTATAAACTGTATATCGATAGAAATGAATATTTATAATTAAGTTAATTACGAAGCCCTTCTTCTAAGTAGAAAACATCAAATGTCGACAGATTTGTGCCCAAAAAAAACAATGACCATAGCAATAAGAAATAGAGTATTTCCATGAATTTATTTACCCCACTCTCTAATGGACAACAGAGTCCTAAATCCTAATAATCATACCTTACAACTGACTAATAACTGGGTTTCAAGCCACCTTTGCTTATTAACCCTTGCAATGAACTCCTCAACTCTTCTGTTTAGTTCCTCCGGAGGCAATCCACTCTCTTCTTCTTCATTTATTTCCTTCTCATCAGGCTGATATTCTTCTACTCTAACTTCTTCATGAACCTCTTTATCTCCTTTGTCGGTTAATTCAGTAACTTCATTATCTTCTTCCCTCAGCACTACTTCTTTATCTTGAATATTAGTCTCTTGTTCAACCCAGGTCGACAGCTCCGGTTTGTTCTCCTCTGCCTTGTCTTGATGAGTTGAGACTCCTCTAAGACTCTTGCTCCTCTCTACATACTCATAATAAATTTCGCCTACGGGAGATTGCTGTGACCCAACAAGCTTCGATTCTCCCACAAGAAAGACGACAATAAGATTTACCAGTATAAACAAGCACTTGGGGCCAAAGAAGGAGGAAAACTTAGTTGGGAGAGATAGAAACAGAAATTGCTGCATGGATGAACATAGGGAGGGAAACCAAAGAGGACAGGAACAAAGCAAACTACATGTCAAGGCAAGTAAAGAATGAAATATGAAATTGTAATAAAACTGATCCTTGAAACTGCGCATAGCTTGAAGCTTTTTAGCCTTGCTTATACTATCCATAATTGAAATAGGTATAACAAGCAGTTTAGTGGGGTTTCTAAGTGAGTTTCGAGAGATTAATTTTATTTGGGAAAGTTATGGAGAACTTAATGCATTAGAAAAGGATTAGTGATTGATGAGGACTCACATCTGACGGACAATGGAGCAGCGGAGACAAGGACTTATATAGGGAGGGAAAAGAGGCAAGGACGATGGAGGATATTTTGGTTGGGATTCAAGAGATGCTACTTTATTGTTGTTTATTGTGTATAGGAGATTACTTACTTTTGATAAAAAGGCATGGCAAGTTGAGAATGTGTTTATTTGGGTGCTTTTGTTTTATAGCCTCCATTGCTTTCCACTATTTCCATTGATGGTTTTGAATTCCCCATCCGGAATTTTACTTAATAAATATGTGTTAGCATCAGCAACCAGTGAAGACCCCTAGTTTCTGGATTCAATGATCCAGTCTGTAAAATCAGATCTACTGGCATAGCATAAAATATGAAAACCGTGACAAAATTTTAAGTTATACATGCATGTAGGGTAGCATGCATATATATGTATCTATGTGTGCCCGGGGGAGGGGAGGGGAGGGGAGGGGGGTGTGGTGGGGGCCAGACTAGATATTTTTTCAGCTAGTTATTACAGTAAGAAGTTTTAGTCGATTCTGAAATTCAATCCTTGGTTGCTTAGAATCGTTCCTCCTTTGAATCTTTTAGATTTATTTTCTTGCCGGCCCTTGTATATGTTATGGATATTCTTACAAGAAATACACATAATGACTATCTAATAAACATGCTAGGAAACAAATTAAGCAAAAAAATAAAGAGATAAGAATAATTACACAATAAAAAGATTTTATATAATTCGACAATGGTGCCTACTTCACGGCTACGTTAAGATTTCTTATTAGGTTTTGTCAAGTGACAACTTCAAATACAAGTGATGTTGTCTCTATTCATAGTATAGACAACTAGAATTATAATACATCTAGTGACACCGCCATGCTAGATCCGTATAGCGCCTTATATTACGGATCTCCATCCACATCAGTCTCCACAACTTAACAAGCTCCCAACTTAGAGACCGATCTCCAAATAGTAACTATCTATTTTTCTCAACCACCTTCAAGTTCTTCTAATACGAGTGCCTTATCATTACTAATTAGAAAAGCTAACTCGGGTAATGAAAAGCCTCGATTTATTATCTTATTCAATATATCAATTGGATTCTCCAATCCTAGAATCATATTCAAACATATTATCCTATCATCCAACAACTCTTCTAATTGCACTCTAATTGTCACCGAAAAGCTCACTCGTTATTCTATGCTCTATCCACTTACTTCAAGAAGCTCTTCAACCAAACCTTTTTTTTACTAGCGATATACTCAACTTCAGGTGATGGAAAGAGCAACACACTTCGAAGTCGAGATACCTAACTCACAAAAGTACCACTCAAGGTGAAAATATAACTTATTGTACTCTTTCCGTTGTCCGGATCATCACCTAAATCCATATCAACAAATCATTATAAAATAGTATTATTCTTCTTAAAACAAAATGCCATACATGCAAGTACTTTTTAGGAAAAAAAAAAGAATCCACTTTACTCCTTCCCAATTCTTCTTATTTGGATTTGCCATATACCTATTGACAACTATATCGAGTCTCGTGCAAACCATAGTTTACATTAAGCTTTCGATCGTCGATGCGTAAGGAACAATAGTTTTTTTTTTTTTTGTTCTTCGACTATCTTTGTTGATTACTCCTTTGAAAGCCTCGTGTGGTTTCCCAAAGGAGTTCTTCTCGTTCTTTCCATCCTAAAGGTTGAATCTACTCAGCACTTTCCGAATGTACTTTTCCGATCTTTCCATCCTAAAGCTTCATTCCAAGTATTTGTTTTACGAGTCCCGAGTCCTTCATCTCAAACTTTTTGCTAACTCGTTGCTTGAGCTTATTGGTCTATTTCAAGTTAGATCCTATAAAAACCATATCATCAACATACAAGAGCAAAATAAGATAACGAATCATCAAAACTCTTGATATAATAACATTGATCCATCTTAAATCTCTCAAAACCATTATCACACATAAACCCATCAAACTTTTTATACCATTACTTGGGAGCTTCTTTCAAACCATACGGACTTTTCTATAATTTGCACACAAGTTTTTCCTTCTTTGGAACTTTAAAGCCTTCCGGTTGTACCATCTAGACATTTTCCTTAAGTTCACCATATAGGAAAGTAGTTTTAACATCTAAAAGCTCTAGATGCAAATTTTTTATAGCAATAAGACTAAACACTAGCCTAATAGTTGTCAACTTGACTACAGGAGTGAAAATCTCATATAGTCAATTCTTTATTTCTATCGAAAGCACTTTACAACTAGCCTTGCCTTGTATATTTTACTAACATCATGCTCTTCCTTGACCTTGTACATTCACTTATTGTGTATAGCATTTTTTCATCCTAGTAGTATAGTTATAATCTATGTTAGATTTTTCTCAAGAAACATCATTTATTCTTTCATGGCTAACTTCAACTTGATATAATATTTCACCGAGCATTGCTTTACTAAAGAATTCTAGCTCTTCAACATTAATAAGAAGCAAATTATTCAAGGAAGGTGAATATCTTTGAGTGGGTCTAGACACTCTATCGGATCTCTTTGATCGAGGAGTAAGAGTTACTAGTTCTAGTTCAGCTTTAGTTTCTCCATCTCTATTATATGAATTTTGAATCCCAAATATATCTCTCTCTAAAATATCCTCTAAATCATCTTTCTCACTTATTTTTGATCGGTTTCTTGTACTATTAGAATCTATTCTAAGCTTGTCCTTATACAATATATTTTCATTAAAAGCCATATCCATATGCCTTATGACTAATATGATGAGATCACGAAGGTCGAATAATATGAACTACTCAATGTCCAATAGGATCATTAATACATGAGCTACTTAATGGGCCGATCAACAAGGATATAAGCTTGAAGAGGGATCAAGGCAATAATTTAGGCTAAAAATTATTGATCCACAATTAGAATTAAAGTTGATGAGTTTTAGGGTGATTTAAGTGCCAAAGAGGCGAGCTATGGGCTTCTAAAGGCTAAACCATATTCTAGGCGAGTGCTTCCAAAGGTTGAACCATGTTCTAGCCATGGGCTTCCAAAGGATAAACCATATTCAATCCGTACGCTTCCAAAGGCTAAACCATCCGCTAGTCATGGGCTTTCAAAGGCTAAACCACCTTTTGGCAGTGGGCTTTCAAATGCCGAGGAACAATCTAACTGTGGACTTGGTCTCGAGGAGGATAAACCATTGGCCATTCTAATAGGTCCAATCATAATAACTAAGGCTAGAAAGATCCATGAGTTCTACAATGGGCTTATCCAACGTCAATTGAATGAATTCTCTATCCTTTGGCTTGAAGAATATCATATGGGCCTTGTGAATCCGATCTAAAGCTATTAGGTCGAATCTTTCAAACTTAAAGTCTAATTTGGCTGAACCATCTTGTCTTGATATTTTGAGCCAAGATTAATAAAGGTAAAGCTATTGAATCAGTCCATTTCAAAATTAGTTCAAAGTTCAAATTTTACATCTTTTTTTTTTTTTAAATTAGCATCAATCAAGATTCAAACCACGTTAATGGCTATCAAAGTCAATGAGTTTTCTATCAATTTCAAGGAGACCTATTTAAGGTTTTGTAGTGATTTAATATTCTATTTATAGATCCTACGTAAATTTAATTCTACTTGTCTTTTTGAATTATAACAGACTTATTTAGCTAAACGAATTATAATTTTCAAACAATCTTTATCAATCAAATTAAACATTACTCGTGAGATTTATTCTCCTTAGTTCTTTAAGAACTTTCGAACTTATGCGGGACTAATCATTCTTCCGGTGTTCATCCTTTGAACCTATAAAGAATTTTTCATTCATGTGGCGTTCACATAGGATTATCACTCCCCTTTTACCTTTTCGAAGTATGGCATCTAATATCGTTCATTTTAAATTTGATTTAACTTTTCTCGAGTTCACATCTTCTTGTTTGTGGGTTCTCTAGCCTTTGACCTAGGTAGTTTTGCATTAGTTAGTATTAAAGCTTGACTTTAGATTAGGTTTCTTTTCGTTATCTTTTATTTTCTTTTATATCTTTGCGAGTTTTATTCTTGTCCAAATTTAGTCGGTTTCAATTAAAAAGAAAACCCGAAAGTCCGGTTTGATTCGTTTTAGTCTAGTTTGTCAAAACCATTGTCCGTCTTATTTAATCTAAGTCCGATCTTCTTCCTTAATCCTAAAATTTTCTTCTTTTTCTAAATCTAAAAAACACCATAGCACTACATGAAAAAAGTTCTAAGGCTACCAAAAAAGAGTTATTGTTATATATTCTACCATTAAAAAAAAAAATCAAGAAAAGGCAATAGCAAATTTGTATCATTTAATCCGAAATCAATAGTTAAAGAAATTCAGTTTTAGTTGCCTAAATTAGTAGCTAGAAACATCATTTGTGTATGCAAAAATTGACTATGTTCAGACTTATTTTTATTATCAAATTTGTTCAAATTAGTAGCTCTAAATTCTTTTTATTGTGTTTCAAATCAATAGCTAAATGATAAATTATGTGCTTGATTCATTATGATTAGTTTCTTTCCAAAAATAATAGACTTGTATCTTCTTTGTTAAATTCAATTCAAGTTAGTTTTAATGTCATTCTTACTCGTTCGAAAAAATTAAAATTCTTGGTTGAATTGGTTTATTAATTCCTTGTTTCAAATCTATACGAAATCTATTCCAAGGAAAGAGAAGTTGTTGAACACTTATTTGTCACTTACAATTGGTTAATTATCATTTCGTGTGCTTAAAAAATAAGAAGGCAAGGATAAAATTATTACCATGATATATAGATAAGAAGGTGACAATAGATTTCAAGAGAACTCGTATGATGAGGCGATACTTGAAATCAAAGTTTAGACATGACAATTTGATGAGCTTGCTGAAATTTACAA